GAGCTGCGTTTACCTCTACTTGATAAATCACGGTATTCAGTCGTCTCCGATTACCTAGGCACATATGTACTTAGATATGGAACGGTTCTTCAGTGTAAAACAAAATAAATCTTTTAAATGGTCAAACAGGGTCAGATTATATTATCTGCTTGCGCCAAATCTTCAGGGTGGGATGCACAGTTGAAACTGATGTAGCAAGCTACGCCTTAAGGTTGTAAACCAGCTGTTCGAAGAAGCAGCTGTTGCACTTCCGTCGCTCATGGATATGTTACAGTATCCAACTAAAACCCCCGCCGTGAAACCTTGTAGGTAGGCGGTCTGTGAAAGTGGTTGAGAAAAAAAGAACCCCTTTATCAAGTAATTAGAGACAATAACCTAACCCCCTGTCTGTAAAATGGGCAAGCAGGTGAAAGATAAACGAAAAACAAAATATTGGTGGTTGTGCGACTAAGACAATTGACGCGGAAGACATATGGACGGAAATATCTGATTGATCCTCAAACCAACCATTCTATACAATGAAGCAATTGGATAGTTTTGGTGGGAATTTGTCGTCTTCTTGCTGTGTTTTTCAACCATTCTATGTCATGATGCTGCTGTGCATAAATTTCTACCTTAAAGTAACAGAACAGTGGACTTCCTTGAACAAGGTTAAGTCGGACACTTGAGCTGAATACTTTACTCAGTCAATGTAATGGTAGAGTGGTTATGTCTCTGATAGAACAACATGCTTTTCCTGTACCTGTCATTCGGTAAAAGACGTTCATAGTCTTATAATATCAATTCTGCAGAGTAGCTTAATATCAATCGTGTCGACCACACATTGGTGACAAGCTGACATGGATCAGACAGTGACTCTTAAGAGCCAATACTACAGCATATGGTCTCAAATGAACCCAAGGTTTTAAATATTACTTCGGTAATTTTCCACGATACATTTCGTAATGGTGGTGAATCGCGCTGTTTATCACTAGGATTTATGGATGATTATGCCTACCAGCAAGGGCAAGGTCTTCATTAACTTCGGCCGTCGGTGTTACTGAATAACGTACAACGAATGGATTGACGCATCAGATGTAATCAAGGTGTATCCCTTAGACCGGTTAAATCTAACCCATGTTCTTATCTTGCACAGCAACGAGGCGCGTGCGCAGCCGGAACGTCTCCAATTTTTTCTTGCGCTCGGCCTCAACACAGTACAACCCGACATGGCGGAATGGAAGTCTGAACTGGGCCCGGGAGCCAAACTTTGTCGCTACTGAATAAATCACACTTGTCAGATGTATTGCAAACTATGTCAAATTGAATAGATTGCTTCGTACCTCGCTTGTAGGTCGAATAATGGGCACCTGGGATTCATATTTTGGGAAGGTTGCTTCAACGACTTGGTTTTTGGTCATTCACTGTGCTAAGGCCGTCCCAACATTTGTTATCACCGGCTCTAAATTATGTCCCATAGTTATCGCCACAGTTAACTATACCCGGAACATTAGTGGAGAAACACTTGTCTTTACTTAGCAATCACCTGATATAATAGCGTTGTTGTTGAAAGCAAGAAAACAGAATATAAATACATGAACTTGTTAACACGGAACATATTCCTTTTTCCATTCATCCTCAGTGCAGATCAAATACGCACATGTGGCTCGGTCGCCACTCTTCCCAAGCTAGGTACTGGTATTCACAACGTATCAGCGTACACAGGTGTATAGGTGAAACCGGTGTGCTAAATGTGGCAGGTAAAGTGACGGAGATATTGTAACTCACGTGTCAAGTAGGTGCAGGTTCGATATCGTAAATCTGTCGAAAGTGGAGGCTGTTGCAAACCAAAATGGAAGACAACTTTGGAGTTTCACAGTAACAATAGCATGGACAATATCATCGTGACAGTTTGGTCTTCTGTTAAAGGGAGCAATGGAAACATTCATCAGAAGTGCCTAAGTGCATGCATCAGTTTGGTGACTGTTAGTCATATGTGGGCTTTAGAAGACTTACAACCAAACAGTTGTGGTGTAGGATGAAGCCATCTTAGGGTCGTAGTTTTCAAATGGATGGTGTCATGAGTGTTGGGATTCAGAAGGTTGGTGGAGTCATTGGTATAATTAAGTTTGGCTAACCATCCATGAGGTTCAAGGGCATGAGTAATGTCTATCGTCTCTCGATATCAATCCGCACAAGAATGGGGATACTGCCACAGTGGCTCTGGCTTCCGAACACCAGGACTGCCCATTATCACTATCCACAAGCACAGAGCACACATTCGCTGAGAGTGCCCAATAATCTTGAATGCTGTTGTGCCGAAACGATGATGAAAATAACCACCTAACAGTCACGCAAAAATAGTACCAACCTATCGTTCAAAGTCAATCAATGCAGCAACGTTAAATGCCCATATGAAGGATCAAGTGCACGCGTTTATATAGACTGACCAAATGTTGATGGTGCGGTGCTTGTTTGACTATTGAAGTGTGCCCCTAATGTGAAATCAAAATTTGTAAGTGACTGTACAAGTCTGTTTGGCACAATTTCAGGATAGATGAAAATACTTTTATGTAGATTTGTTTCCTGTATTCCGAGGGTAAGTTTATCAACTAAAAAGAGCTTGTTACCTCCAAAAACTACTGGATACCTGCTTTGGGGGATAAAAAGTGAGCCAACCATTGGTCACCACCTACTTGTTTGAAAATATCCTTCCCTCAATTACCCTTGTAAGTCAACGTATGTTACTCTGTTTTGAAATAGGCAGCGTTAAACTCTAAATCCGGGATGCAATGTTATTGTGACAGATTTGAAACCCTTTTCACAGGGGCTACAGTAACATAAACGGCTAGAGCAAAGCGATTGCTATTGAGTGAGCACAGTTTGGAAAAATTGCCCACCTGGGGAGGCAACGTATGCGGCGACCATAAACTGGTGTTGATACAAGTTTAGTAAAAAGAAACGCTGCCCACCTTCATAGTGTCGAGGTGTCTCAGCTTTGTAGTAACTTACCGGTATCTCCTCCACGATAATAGAACGGCACTCCAAAGAAGAGGAAAGGTAAAAAGGTCAGCAATTGGAGGACGCAGTAAACAACGGAGTGCAAATAGGCGACAGCGTCAATACCCGCATAAGAAGCGACTTTCCAGTCCCTAGACATTTGGAGGAAAAATTGCCAATAACAAAACAGGGTGGCTGGTTTACATACAAAACACATGCGATTAGTTATGGGTACATGCAAAGAACAGATTGAATGTGTGCGCTGCAAGTAAACTTGGCAACAAATGAGGCACAGATTCTACTATATATATATATATATATATATATATATATATATATATATATATATATATATATATATATATATGTATAGTCAAACCCGCTTTATTGCCCTTCCGGTTTATAGCTCACCCCGCTTTGTTGCCCAGTTTACAAAATACACATTTCCTTCTCAAATATGCGATATTTTCACCGTCTAATTGTCCACTGCCCAGGTCGTCCCAACGTTTACTTGTTCAGCTGCGTGGGTTGTGCTCTTGTTGCTTCGTCAATTTTACGCCATTGCTCTGACTATCTTTTAATTCGATTACCGCACAACTAGCCAGTCCGATCGAGTCAAGAACAGGCATTCCATGGCTGGTATCTAGGAGACGCAAGGTCATCCGCCCTATTGAGTGAGACGTAGAGACTCCTCGGCTCGTACTCAATGAATGACTCCATCCTACTGGAGCTTTGGCTTCAGCACCTACCCGAGATAGCTCAAGCTATCGTCATATCCGCCAAGCTCCATCCCCTCACTCTAGCCGCGCAAGTGGCTGAAGTGATCATGGTTCATCTACCTAATGAAGTAGGTTAAGCAACGCCAGTCGCTACAAATCCGCCGAATAGCCATAACGTGTCTCAGTAGCCACCTACTTTATGCAGGTAGCACGCAGCCCCTCCTTCTGAGCTTGACATAGTATTTAAGGAACTAGAGGCATTACATGGCGCTCTCGACTCTCCTTCAGCACTCGATAACTCGCCGATAACTAAAACCAAGACGGCTAAGCCCAGCATCTTACCGCGTAACAAACTATACTGGTATCACGGCCGCTTTGGCCCTCAGGCGAAGCGATTTCTACTCTTTACATCTTCCCCTCGACTCAATGAGCGAAACTTCCAAGCTGCAAATCGTACACCAACCACGTCACCAGACACATCTCCGGCAGTAGCGTACTTTACGTTCAGTACTGCAAATCTGGAACTGCATTCCTGGTTGACACTGGGGCTGAAATAAGCGTGCTTCCTCCTGCACCTGGTGAGGCGACTCAGTCGGCTACTCTCAGTCTTCGTGCCGCCAATGGCACGCTCATCCCTACTTATGCCCAGCGCTATTTATCCTTCATCCTGGGTCACCGTGCAACATTTCGCTGTGTGTTCATCATTGCCACCGTATCGTTTGCTATAATCAGCATAGACTTCTCCAGACATTTTGACCTTTTGGTCGATGCGAAACAACAGAGGAGCGTCGACCCCGAAACAACACTCAGCGTTACTGGCACCAACGCCGGCATTGCAGCTATCACCCCAGTCTACGTTTGAAGAAGAGTTGTTGCGAAGAGATCTCTTTCGCTAATTCTCCTTAGACATTTGCAAATATGAGAAAACTTGATACAACACGATAAGGTATCTACAGCTGCAGTAGTAAATGGTTAAGTCACAGTTCAACGAAAGGCCAACAAGTCAATCGGTAGATCAGTTAATGCAATCAGGTGATAAACGTCACACGCTTTCCCACCCCAAACACTGAAAGACAAACATAACAAGAAAGAAATGGTTGGTTTGGTGGCAAAGCTCACAGTTATTCCTGCGCAAAAGTAGGTACGGATGGCGTCAGTCGTTCAGGCCAAGGCCACGTGAGCGCTTGTACAAGCGTCCTCTGCTTGCATAACTTCAGTTGCAGCCGAGTGATAGCCATTGCTTTCGAAGTTGCCAACAGGCGCTTCCTGAGTCTCTTTGGGTTGCTTTTAGATCTGGCATACAGGACTTTACAAACGTCATCGGTCCGAACATGATGCCCGTACTAAGCGGGTGTTCAAGGACGGAGCTATGGGCTTTATGAACTGTACCGCGCCGTAAACATGCAGGCAGTGTTTCGCCATCCTCTTAGACAGACGCCTGGTCGTGTGTCCGAGGTACCTGGCACCACAGACGCAGGTGAACTGATTTACAACGGAAGATTCGGAACGAGCGGGGTGTCTGTCTACAGACTTTCTCCGACTATGTTCAACTATTCTCTCAATACCCTAAGCTTGTTCAGCCAATGAACGAAGCTCCCTTCGTAGCATCTCAGGTCACGCACCATATGCGTACCAACGGCTCACCCGTCTGATCACGCCCTCACCGGCTCTCGCCAGAGAAATTGAAGCTACCTAGGGCGGAGTTTGAGCATATGCTCGAAATAGGAATAAGCCGCCCTTCGGGTAGCCTTTGGTCCTGTCCACTCCAGCTGGACCCAAAGAAACTTGGAGACTGGCGACCTTGCGGTGACTACCGACAGGTACCCCATCCCACATATGCAGGACCCCACTGCATGCCTCGCAGGTAAGACGGTATTCAGCAAGATCGATCTTGTTTGAGCCTATTACAAAATATCTGTGGAGGAAAAATACATACCTAAGACAGCTGTCATTACCACCTTCGGCTTATATGAAATTTTGTGAATTCGCTTAGGATTGTGCAATGCCGCACAAACGTTTCAGCGCTTCATCCACTCCGAGTGCGTCGGGAAGGGTGACACCTCCCAAGTGCACCGTCGGGCCGCAGCGGAGGAAATGTCTTGTCGGCCTTTTTTCTGGACTAGACAATTTTCTTGCAGTCCGACCAGCCCGCCGCGACAGCCCACCGATGATGCACTCCACTGCACACTCAAATAATAACTAACAAATTATAAAGAAGCCGGGACCCAACGCACTCGACGCGCCCTCACTGTTCGCCTACGCCTACTGCAACTAGTACTCTACTTTCCCATCCTCAGTTTGTCCTCCACCTGACATCTCAATCGAAGGCTTCCACCATTCAACCTTCTAGGGGGAGACCCTGTAGTAAACGTGAAACATTTATACTTCAGTAAATTGTGACATTGGATTTTATTCGTGTTTGTATCTTGCGATCGTCTATTTGTTCTACTGACTGGTTCACTTTCGAATTCTCTGCGATTCGCACGCTACCTTGCTCTGTGCTCTTGCTAATTTGCTTCTAGTTCATTACAGCTCTTTACAATCCATGTTGGTATCCGTATTAGTTCCTACTGGTTCTCGTCGCAACCAGTAACTGAGTTCCGCTCTACAGACTCTTTCCACGCTTTAGTTTTGTAGTTAAGCAGTGAGTTTTCCTTATATCCACAATTACTTGGACTATATTTTTGATACTTTTGTCTGTAATAACATTAATTTACCATCAGGGGTGAAGAAAACTGGGGGTTGTAGTTGGTGGTTCATTCTTCTCGGGTGCAAAAACACATTTTGACCTGACATTAGTTGATTTGGATTTTAATAAATACAGGTACAGGAAACTAACGTACAATAAAGAGAGTCGGCTAATCCCCCCAAAGTAGATGAGAGGACGTTTGCTTATACGTATTTCTACGACTTTGATCCCCTTACGAAATTCACTCTGGACACAGCTTCCTGGCTACCTGGTTGGAGCGTCTCAGTAAGCATTAGGCGCATCGCTGGATGACTAGATCGGGTGAAGATCAGTAGAGATTAGTCAGTCTGCACGTATAAGCTAGCTAAGATAGATTAATTCTATGCACAGACGAATGAACAGGATTTCGTTTGATTGTAAACCTGCATCTAACTGGGTGATTATACACGTACGGTTCACTTATAATCAATGCCAGCACCGATCTTCCAGTAGTTCCGGTGCTTGTTTAGGTGGAAGACTGCACGTACATGCCTAACAGTGCGGAAACACTAACCGACGCCGATGCACGTGTTACAAGTTTGGAATAAGCGACCAGCCGGAGGAGATGTGCCGACATTTGTTTACCAAAGCGTGCGGTCATATTCCGACCTAACAGAAGTTCAGATAATATGTAGAAGAAATAAAAAAGTTGTAAACGACAAAGAAACTACTTTGAGAAACATTACGCAACCTCCTTGGTTTCAGCACACGTGGATGAAGAGGGACACAGCTTCGACTGGAACAAGGTGGCGATCTTGACCGAAGGAGAAACACAAAGAGAGAGTTTCTCGAAGCCTGGCTCTCAACCACGAACTCAATCAACATGCATATCGACATCGATCCAATATACCAACCGCTGAGACAGAGAGAGCTCAAGTGGATCAACAACCGTTGTCCGAAAGAACCTAATCCAACACACGGACAATGAACAGCATGGTCAATGTGAGCCCAGACCGCTCACCCACACCCGTTGCACCAATTCGAGTGCGATAATCCCAACAACGTCGCAACAACATTTCCGCAGCCAATGACAATGAATCGAGCACGACCGATGTACACAAGGATTCACCAACGAGAACGAGGCAAAATTAATAGCCCCGGATGCTTATATAAGGGACGGAGTGGTTGCTGACAGTATCCAGCTACTGCTGCTTAACTGGCATCAATCCCGCACTGAAGACGCCACCTGGAGTAGTGGCGAAACGTTTGCAATCAAGTTGTCCAGCTCGGAGAACGCCACAACAACTGAATATTTTGAGTATGTTAGAGATAGATGAACTACGTAAGACTGGTTGACAGTGCCAATGGTAAAGTAGGTAGAATTACGTTGGCTTATCCTAGCCGAGGCAAAGGAGCACCATTGATGTAACCTGTGACTGAGTAACTGGCATGTATTAGAAAATAACCTGGTAGTTAAGAATGGCTCGCCTTCTGCTGGTACGAAATTAACGATCTGGAGAAAGTTGTTAAACTAGGCATTTAACGTCAGCAACTCTAAAGTTTTGCAAAAAGACATGCTCTTCTATTTTGCTGTGAACATCTGTCCACTGAAAAAGCAGTCGACTCCAGTAGAAACATTTCGATCAACATAAAGTCTACTTACGGCATCCAAAGGTATTCCCGCAATGTCGGTTTGACAGTTTTGTCAGAGAATCTGGCTTCCGGATAAAAGGTAACCCTAGAATGTAGAAAAGGAATATTCTATAATAGGTTTTCCAAAACGAATTCTTCTACTAGAACGCATAAAGCAACTATTTACGAAAATCAAGCACTGTGACAGTAAGTAGGAGAGCGCTTAGATCATTTGCAGCTGCTCCTCGATTCGAAAGAGTAATTGATTACTCGAAGCACGCGCAAACAACATTTTGATATCCGCCCTGCTAACAATCTATATGATTCCCAGCACAACATTGCTGTTATTACAACAGTAAACGTCCTAGTGGGCCCACAAGTTAATCTGCACCTCATTAAACTGTTGCATAAAGCTGAAATACCATCGTGGAGTTATGCGCCGCGTAAATGCTCGGCTACTGCGTCTGTTGAGAAGCTTCGTTCTATTTAGACTTAGCGCGAGATAACCGCTTGGACTTATTGAGACATGTCTGTAGCACCTATCTGTCAGATCCTGTAGGATTTAAATAAATGACCATACCCTTGCAGACTAGAGATTAGAGTCACTGAATCATAGGCGATGCTGATGGACCGCCATACCACAGAATTTTTGATAGCTTACAAAGGGACTCGTAGCTCTTGGAGCATATTATGTCCTCTGCACGATCACAACATGCAGGTCGATGGAGGAAAAGACGCTTTATAGCAACAAGTACACAGTCATGACCATTAGTTACCCTCATCTACGGCTCATTGACTTAAGTTGCTCGCTCGTACGTGTAAGGTTGCGGGTTCCCATCTGGTTGTCTGACAGATGCGCGCTACTGACGATTCTCAGTAGGAAGAAACGGCCGTTTAGCGTCTTCCATGTTATGTGATTAGATACATGACGGAACTCGACTGTGACAAACTTGCTTAAAAGCCCAACAATTGCTCATACTGTTTCCTGACACTGCAGTTAAGCATATGGTGCATGCGACATTACTTGCATTCGCGGTTAGCTCAATGTAAGTTAGTAAAACGTTAAGAAATTAGTTTTGAGGTTAGCGTTTGTCCACCTCTGTGTGTTGAAGCAAAACCCAATTATCAGGGGGGAATGAACAACTCTTGTATGGGGAATTACAGGCCAAGCTTTTGGATTACCTTTGGCAGCATGAACATAGAGGATCGCCAGCGCTAGCTGCTAGGGTTTTCTGAATAGTGGAGGCTATCCGAACGAAGTATGAAACACCACTTGGTAACCAGTTGCACATAGCCTCCAGACGTAGGGATTTTACAGTTCATGACATACCTTGGGGTTTCTTATGGAACAGTCTTTATTTATTTTATCCTATAATGCTTCTGTTACTTTCTATTTGTGGTAGAAGGTCTGTTGATGGTACATTGACAGAGTCGGGCCTCACAATGAGTCGGGCCAAACTGCCGCAGAGGAAATGTTGAGCAGCTTGCTGCATAGCGTAGTATAACTTAGTATGCAACTCGTCTCTTCATTGTGAAATGTTTTGTGTGGGCTTGAGCAAGGAATCCACTAGTTCTAACGACTGGCAAACGAAAGTTCTAATTACTGGGTCGGCTGTATCACTTATGGTAGGGACATTCCGAAGGACTATGCTGTGTGAATCGGTAAGATTGATGCCGATTTTCAAATCCTCACTCAACTACAATGGACGGAAAATGCTAGACTGGTTAAAGAATGATTGCACGACGGTATGGCACTGTCAGCGTTACTGGTAAAGTAAGAGAGACTAAAACAGAGTACTAAAGACAAAGAGGAAATAGATATATTTGGCCAACGGCGCCTGAAAATTATTGCTGGTAGTGCAATGTGAGTAATACTACGACGAGCAGTTAAAGTTCAGGCAAGGTAACTAGCGCCGGCCCGTATTAACTTTCGCACTGGAGCTGACTACACTAAGTGCTTTATGCCTTTTACGTACTCACCTATAGGCTGCGTGGAAGTGTATTGTATAGTAAGGTTGTAGCTAGAGGCGTAAAGACTGTTTGACCAATCTTGCGTAGTACAGAGGAATGAGGAAGCCAACCGAAGGAAAGCGGCAAGTCGTCACGTGTCGTCTTTGTGGTAGTGGCCTAGGGGTCAGCCAAACCAATAGTTAAAAGATAGACGTTAGATGCTACCCGCTCGCAGCAATGTACTCCATGACGGTTTCGCATTCGTCCGCACTCGTCAGGTGGAGATAGTGTGATGCACTACTAATGAGTAGCATGTGGAAAATGGAATTGCGCGATGGAGTCAAACCAACGACGGATAGATACTGATGGGGGACGCAGAGTGCGCGATTAACTACCACGGATGAAGAGGCATAGCCGAACAAGGAAAGAGAGAGAGAGAGAGAGAGAAAGAAAGAGCGAAGTAGCACTGATGAAGCGTGCACATGGGTGCAGCTGTAATCTATCTGACCGTCTGTACCAAAGTAACTCTCCTTGTCGCGATAAACAACACGTCTGCGACATGTTGGGTTTTCCGCGATAGCAGCGCTGCGACCCAGACTCGGGGTCTTGGGATGGAGATGACTACACTGGCTTGGAAATCGTCCCAACTGAACACCGCCCAGATTAAACCGCTTTTCGCATACCTTCCACACTACCCGATGCTTGAGAAACCTCGCGCTTATATGATAAATGATCTGGTCGAATATCAAACAGTTGCGAAGTCGGCCACTGCATTACATTATTCCACACCTTCCTAGCATGTACCCTTGACAAAGTAGCATATTTTAACTCGTTCTTTTAACTTATGCTGCTTCACTATTTCTGTACATATTATTAATATCTTTACTTACCTTTACAAGTGAGTTGATGCCACTAAATCCAATGCCCGGACCGCACTTGCTCAACTGATCAACTAAACTGAACACAGTATTAATCCTAAAAGGTTTACGCTTTCTGTGTTTTGCGATGTTGGATATCTTCGGTCCCTGAATACTGCGACCGTCCACTTATTTTATTGATTGCTAACTCCCATCAGTTGTTTCCGCCCGGTACGTGGCGCTCGAAACTGCTCCGCGCTTATTCTAACTCGCACCCCTTTGCTTGTAGCCCTTGCAACACACGTCGTGCCCAACTGCTTCAATTTTCTCCCTGAGTTTGTAGTTTGCAAGGCGGTTACGTTCCCTCCTTCTTGACCAGTATTTGAGTCATACGCCCTAGTTGCTGACCCCGACTAAGAACATCGCATCCGCAATCTTGACTTTTCATTTTGACGATCTCGTTCCAATAGTCTTGTAGCTGAATAATTGTAACCATTGTGTTTTCTCAGCTACCGTGTATTTTTATTCACTTTTACAATGAACGATTTAGAAGGGAAGCCTTCCTTGCACTTCGTTAATGCAATATCCTTAGATTTGTCACATATTTGTAGATTGATCCTTTAAAACGTTTTCTGCATCTGGGAGCTAACTTTTACCACTGCGAAGCTTCTGAGTTTTATCTCGGATTTTCCAGAGAATAGACACTCAGAGGACCTACGTTACATCTTGCTCGCTCCAGAGAAATAAAATCCCAGACCCGTAAGCAGACTATCATTAAAAGGGCAACGCTTTCAGTCAGTGTTAAGAGATCTGCAGCTGGGAAATAAGCTGTCCTCTACATTGTTACGAGACATGTAGCAGCACCTTGAAACATCCAACAGGAACATTGTGCTTCTCCGCGAGATGTGAAGGCAAACCAACTGGAAAACACGCAGGCAATCCTCGCCGTAGCAGACGCCCCTGCCACTCGCAGTAACCGCGGCCTAATCTGGCTCCGTCAAAGAACGACACTAACCACCACCTGCAGAAAAGGCCCTTGACCGACTTAGCACCATTCCAGTCCAAGCAACCTCCGCGCCTAGCATGCCCTCAGTAATGGATGATTTGTCAGACCAAATGGCCTCACTGCAGCCTCAGGTCGAAAACCTAATCATAAACCGCTGGTCTGGATCATTGCCCAGAGACCCAAACCCATTTGAAAGATACGAAAAGATAGAAGCGAGTCGACTCCAAAACGAAGCTCAGCGTTCGAGTCTCCAACGCCGAAATTGCATCTAGCACTCTTTACTTAGATCCAGAGAAACAATGCCGCATGTTTCTCCCACCAATCCAAGGTCGACCAGACAATGAATGCAGCTGTCCCTTTGGCATCTTAACTCACGCATCCCATCTGGACTAACAGTCAGCCAGTCGCATCTTGACTGTGCTGACTTTTTCCGGAGAAACGCAAGCGTCCTAGGGCAACATTTGAGCACGTTCTCGAACTCTTTATAATCTGTAGTCACAACAGCACTTTTTCCTCCCCACAACAGATGGTTCCTAAGAAATCTGGAGACTGGCTCACTTGAGGGGATCACCGTGCGCACAATGACCTAATCATTCCAGTTAGGTGCCTCATACCGCACGTGCAGGACCTTACAACACGCATTTTCAGAAAGATCTATCTCATTCGTGTGCATCATCAATTTTCTGCTAAGGAACAACGTATCCTTAACACAGCCATCATCACTCTCATCGGTTTCTTCGAACATCTTTTAAAATGCATTGTGATTTGTGCAAGGTCCCACAACGTTTCATCCGCAATGTCATAAGTAGCCAATATTTCGCTTACCCTTAAAGCTATGGTATTCTAAAAGCCAACCTCCATCAGCTCCGATCACTCTTTTGGCAGATGATATGACACGATATCACAGTTAACTCGACTAAGTGGGAACTAAGTAAATCAACGGAAATATGAGTAGGTTATCTTTTCCCATCTCCCAATGTTTGTTCTCCCTGTTAAGAGACCCAAGAAACTAAAATCTTTTCACCCTGGACATCATTTAAGCACCGTTTATTTTGTGGTTTGGTCAACTTCTATCGACGCCTTATACCTTGATGCGCTCGGCTCATGCAACCAATCCCTGGAGGAAGCGAACGTGAGTTTTTTTTCCTAACACAGCACAAACGGGTTTCACAGCTCTCAAGGATGATATCCCCAACCTAACTAGCTTTGCTAATTCGGAATCATCCACCTCTCCATTACGGCTGATGCTTCACACGTCGCGGTTGAAGCTGATTTCCAACAATACTTCAGATG